TTTTATATCAATGTCAAAAAAGTTTAAATGTGGAATCACATAAACACTAAATATAAAAATAACTAAACAAAAGTAACAAAAAACTTTACACTTCATTGCAATTGAACATCTTCACCAAACTTCATGTATCTTGAATAACTCGAATAGAACCAATATTAACAATTCCTTGTCAAATACACAAATGAAAATATCAAGTTTTATTGTAATTTTACTAGGATATTAATTACCTCCTTAAACATGAGACCGAAGATGTTATAGTAACCGGATAATATCCAAACAACAACTTACAAGACAACATTTATTTTATAACTTGTGTTATATATAGGGATATTTTAGTAAAAATTGGACATCGGTAAACTGGGAATATATATAATACAAAAGGGATCATAATATGTTTTACATATTCAAACAATGGGGTGAAAAAGGCATCAACTGGTTCAAAACACCTCGCCAACAGGCGTAGCTGCATCAATATGACAACAAGTTTAGTAAATTGTTACAAAGTTACACATTTGACCGTTGAAGATCAAATATTGACTATTTTAGGACAAAAAATTGATAATATTACATTTCAGACCACTTTATAGTTGTAATATTTGATGAAAGGGTAGGATGGGTGCAATAAGTAAGATTCTAGCAAATTTGGATGGTTGTTGCTTGATTAAGCCCATTAAGTCAAATTCATCTAACCTGTAGTGTATATAGTATATTAGAAGTAATTGCTTACCTTCTTTTGTGTTAAAAATTCTCCATTCACGCTTTTGAGAAGCCATTCTCGATCCTATAACAATCCAGATGGAAAATTCAGACCAAAACATAAAGGTAAGTGAAAAATGACAAAACTACCCTTAATTATGTAAAAAAATTAACAAAAAGAACGTGCAACTTACAACTCTCTAACAATACTTTTATAATGTGTAATGACCTATAAATGAGTACAACTAAATAGTATATAACTTCAAAACAACAATATAATCATTCTTTTAATTGGCATTATTAGTAATTAATCCCTAAAAAACAGCATGTAGGTCCTTGTTTTCTAGGACAAATATATCATTTGCCTTCCATAAAGTATCCTATAAGGTTACAAAATTAAAACGATGAAAGGTTTGAGGTCATTTTGGATGAACAAAGTCAAGAAAGCTTATGCTTACACATCTATATTTTGTTTGCTTCTTTGAGTTTAACTCCTTCGTATTTGCTAAAATTGCACCAAATTACTCATATGATAATCTGCCCCCAATGAAAGTAAAAAAGAGTGATAGATGATTAGCAGCAATAATAAGAACGAGCTGAATGGGAAAAATGCTAATGAGGGGGTATATATGTAAGTTTACCTCACTTGTCTGAATTATGTTTTACCATCCACACGAGTGCATCATGCAACAAGCATAAAGTAGTGCACATCAGTGTCAACAACAAAATCGATCCTTGAAATAAGTTGGAACAACCAAACCAAAGTGCTAAAAACTCAACATCTCATAACTACAAATTACCCAACATATGCATATATCACTACTACTACCACCATGTATCTTTATTACATTGGCTATAAGTTTTGGTGTATGGACCCCATTCCTTCAACTGTATTTCGCTCTACATTTAATGCTTTCTGAATATCTCCGTGCAACAACAACAAACAAGTTAAGTTTAATAATAAACTCACTCCATGTGATGCATAATAAAGAATAAATATGCATGTAATATTGTTACCTGAATGGATAATGGTGAAGTAGTTGGCCCATAAAGACCTATGACTCGACCTTCTTTATCACCTAGAAACTTGGTAAAATTCCAATTGATGCTTGACCCAACAAACACCCTGTTTCTTTGCTTTAGGAAACTTGTACACATGTGATGCTTTTGGTCTATTAACACAAATCTTTAAATAAAGAAATAGCGGTTAGACACATTTTCACCATTCAAACATCAAACTTCAATTCGTTTATGAAAATGAGTGATTTATGGTTCAAAACACATGTATTTTTTGTAAGGATGACTGAAAACTCACATTCTAGAAGATGTGATATGTGATGTTAAACCTTGTGCATGAAAATTCTTCCAATTTCTCGCTAGAATCATGCTCTTATTTTAGGAACTGATTGCAAGGAACTGCTAAGATCTCCAGACCTGATCATAGATATGTATCAACACATACTTTATATTTTGATTCAATTCTAGCTCACAAAGTAATATTATTGTTATGATATGAATGTAAAATAATTTGTGACACTATCATTTGTTTTTTTGAGATTAGCTTCACAATGATAAATGATCAGACTAGACTCGTTGAGCTAGATGGATAGATAAGTAGGTATTCACTATATGCTTAATTGATTGTCTATAATTGCGATATATGATTATTATTTAAAGTGAATATAATTGGATGGAGAATATAATGTTGTATTATCGAAATTGACTAATGAAATAAATACAAAATTAGGTATTTTTTTAAAGTTTGAACTAATCAACTGATTGTCTGGTTATCTGATACTGGTTATTAACTTCACTTTAAAGCCTTACATCCAAACATCGTTCTCTTCTGGTTGCGATAATCAATTTCGATGGTCGAAGTGAAGAAAAAAGAGTACCTAAGTGAAGTCGAGTGGAGAAAAGATGGAGATTCGTTGTTCGAGGTCTAAATCTCCGATGCATAGTTGTGTAGTGTAGCAACGATGGTGTTGTGAAGTCGTAGGTAGAAGTAGTGAGCGACGATGGCGGTATCCCGGTGGTGTTGATCGTACATTCGTATGAGAGAGAAAATAGAATGATGGGATTGGGGTAAAAAAATTAATTGGTCTCTGCTCTCTAACGCATATTAAGTAAAAGGAAACATGTATAAGAGATATGGGAAATGTCAAATTTCATATATACTTTTTAACAATAAACGCTAATTCATTAAGGAGAGGGGAATAAGAAACATCGATTCAAATTTTTAGTGGCACAACAACATATCATTCAAATCATATGGTAAAACTTTAGTGGCATATAAAAAAATATATGACACAAAATATAGAGTTTTTAATGGTATTTTAAATTTTTATGCCATTAATTAACTTTAATATTAGTGACATAAATTGTTAAGTGCCATTAAATCTATTAATTTTATAGTGACATATAAAATATGCCACTAAAAAAAAAATACTATATTGGCATAAAAAAGATATGTCATTAAAAATGTGTGTCACTAAATGTCATTTTATTTGTAGTGATCGGAGACGCTCTTGGAGAAAACTAACATGGTTTTCACATACCTATTCGTCATCGGAGTAACCCACCAGAGTGAGTGAAAGAGAAAGAGGGGGAAGAATCGATATGAGATCTAGGTTTTAATTGTCAATTTGTTCGTCAGTGTGGGTGTCGTGTGCTAGCAGTGCTACGAAGCAGAAAATCAAAGAATTTGGGATGAATTTTTGGTTAGGATTTTTTAGTTTAGTTTTGATTTTTGATTCTAGTATGAATTTTGGGGATGGATTTCTAGGATTTTTTTTATTGCAGTACTTATTTGCTCAGCTACAAAGTTTATTGGTTTCATATTTGCGTTTTACTCGTGCTGCTAAGTTTTCAACCATCATTTGAGCTCACCGGAGAAGATAAAGGATGCAACGACAAAAACAAAGGATGCAGGGAAGTTTTTTGGTCAGAAATACATAGATGACTAGATAAGGTGGTGTGTAATGTTTGTATATATGCTGTGGATGGTTGTACGTCCTTAGTAATTGTATAATAACAAAAAAAAGAATTATTTAAAAAGAAATACAAAAATTATAAATAATGTTACATAAATAATAAATTTAATTAAAAAATTAGTTAATAAGGGCACAATAGTCTTTTTAGATTATACAGAGACTAAAATGCAACAAACACAAAACACTAGGAACCTTCCGAATTAAACGTTGACATGCATCAAGAACATATCGAACTATATCAAAAGTAAAATTAAATAGCTTGTTATTCTCTTTCATCAATAATTTTAAAATGTTAAAATTAAATGGAGATGCGGGGTATCGATCCCCGTACCTCTCGCATGCTAAGCGAGCGCTCTACCATCTGAGCTACATCCCCTAATGAATACTACCTTTCAGGATAGACTTTACAAATCGATCTTCGAATTCCATTCAGGTTTGATCAAATGCTACTCTATTTTCTTCCTCCTTCATCAGCCAATTTTAATCTCGTCAACCGTCGAGAAATCAACTCTCTATCTCAAGTCTGTTTTCAGTTCTCTGAACCTCTTATTTGTAAGTAAAGTTTCTGTTGATTTTTTAGTACCATTTGTTGAACTCAATTTCCATTCATAGATTGTAGTAGTTGATTACAAAACGAACATGATTCTTCACATGCAGCGGCTTTCCCTTAAATAATAGGTTTGATTCATAGCTTCTTGTATTTCTATGCTTTACATGTCCACTCCAAAGTACAGACAACAATGAGGATATAAAGATCGAGTGAATCTGTTAAAAAATCACATCCTTAATTTATGTCAAAATTGAAATACTATCAGGATTTGAGGATTGATGATGACTCTTTGACTTTGCATTGAGTATTGGACCACTTTGTGATCTGTCATTATCTTCTGTACTTTAATCTTTCAATTTAATGTAAGCTGTCAATGATTTATGGTATGGTAGTTTGATGTGATGCTTTTATAGCTTTTGTGAAAAAGTTAATCTTCTTAATTATCCATTCCAAAAATGGAAATTCAAATGCTTTTAAAATATACTTTCACTTTAGATATGATTAGGCTTTAAGTGCTATCACTTCATATTGCTCCACCATGTTAGAGCCACATATTGAACATGATTAGACATGATTTAACAAAATTCTAGCTCTTTCCTTTTTCTTGCTTTTTCCAATATCATGTCTTTGGATATACATCCAAAGTGATTATTGTGACTTGAAGTTGACTCATTCAGATTTGATTTTCTGATTCTTTTCTAACTCATTTAGCAACCTAATGTGATTTGAAGTGCACAAAGATCATATAGAAATATATATCTCATGTATTCAAGATTAACGGATGCTAAGTAACATGTAATAATACCATGCATGACTCCATTCTAATGATCATACAACATACTCTCATCAACTTACTAACACATACGCAATCATCTATAGAATATATGCTAATTTTCCCTTACATTATCAAACTCCCGATGACTTACACAACATTTGTGTCTCATTCGAACCCATTTTCGCTCCATACTTATAAGATTTCGCCCATATGAGATATATAACAAAGTTTACCCCACTTAGCGCACACATCAACCAATAAAATCTTTCAAGACGATAATGATTTAAGTTACTTCCATAGAGCCAAGGCGTATGACGAAAGGTACCCGTAACATTATTCACAATCGCAACAAGCACAGAACTAAGATAATACCCCATAGCCAATGAAGCCCACGAAAGAGAAGTTGCCAAAGATCTCATGCTAAATGGCGCCTCACTAAAAAAGAAATCCATCATGCCAGCTAAGCTAAAAAGATCCGCCGACCCAAGAAACAAATACTGTAAAGAAACCCAAAGAAAAGTAATGGGTAGAGGTTGGGTTGAGTTCATTAGGGTTTCTTGAAACGCGACTTTTTTTCGTTTCTTTTCCACTAAAGCTGCAACTGCCATTGCCATAATCGACAAAAATAACCCTGTTCCTATGCGTTGTAAATGAGTGATACCCATTTCGGATTTGGTTATCTTTCTTGCGAATGGGATGATGACATGATCATACATGGGTGCTAGTATCATAATGAAGATGACAGGGAATACAGGGAGGGAAGCTGGTGGGACAAGTAATGAGCCGATTCTTGTGTCCATGGTGGCGGCTTGTTGGACTGAAAAGGTGGATAGTTGAGCTAGGCAACAGTTTAGCATTATGGTTGAAATGAATACTGGGAAGATTTTTAGGACGATTTTGACTTCTTCTACTTGTTTTGTAGTGACTGAAAATCTTGGAAGATTAGACTTATTGGTAATTGCTCTATTGAGGAAGCTTAGATCTTCTGTTATCTCTTCTTTTCTTTCGTTTGAATTTGATGTTGGAGATACGTTTGTGTTAACTACTGCATTTCTGCCGTTTTTCGGTAAATATTTGTTGAAGATTGCAGCAGCAAGTACCTGATGTAAACATAGAACTTTAGTTTTGCAAGTTATCCAATAAGTGCTAAGTAGGTAGGGTAGACTGTAGAATAAATTAGAGATAGAAAAACGTTGAACACAAAATTAACAGGGTGGGTTGAGATTTTTATAAATTCAGGTTAGGGTTGGAATTTCTAACCTGATACCAAACTGCTAACCAGTTTAAATGTTTATTTTTTTTAGGAAAATAGTCTCAATATTTTGGGTCAGTTTACGGTTTAATCAAAACTTTTATTTTTTAAACAAAAAAGTCGCGAATATTTTATATTTTTCTCAAATTAACGAAATAATCCTTATTTTTTTAATGGAAAATGACAGATTATCGTATAAAATTCGATAACTGAACCTTTTCTGTTCCAAAAATAAATATTTGATTATTCAAAATATTGTGTACATTATTTTATTCTTATAAAATTGAAAACCAAGGAAACAAGACCCTAAAGTGTTGAATATGTTACCATTTGAGACTCTTCTCAAAAAGATGAAAGTTAAATTAAAAGTTAGAAATTTAGAATATAATTTCAAAAGTAAACTTTTACTTGAATTTTTCTTTTTAACTTTGAAAAAGTAATTTTGGTTTGCAACTTATTCGACAAGTGTAACAAGTGTAAGTACTATTTATTTATTCTATGTAACAAGTCTGAAATCTCAACTCGTTTAATTAAAGAGATCAAGATACTACCTTAAATATAGTTGTAATAGGACTTCCATTCGGAATTTTAATTCTGTAAACCATGGAACCAAGTAGAAAAATGGGGATAGATATCAGAATTGCCAAAGTGGAAATACCAAAACCCCATTGCCATCCTTTATTATCTTCAATCCACACAGCAAATGTCACTGCAATGAGTGCACCACAAGCGAGACAAAAAACATAGTAATTGAAAAAAGACGATCTTTTTTTTCTTCCTTGAATGGTTTCTTCATCAAATTGCTCAGCCCCATGAGGTGGAAGAGACCCTTTTATCCCTCCAACACCCAATGCAACCAAATAAAGGCCAATGAACAAAAGTGCCTCTTTACCACCTTCTGTTTCGTGGCACTTTGTATTCCTGTTTGCTGATAAACAACTTTCTGGTTTCAAAGAACTTGAACGTGCTTGCATGGTGAGTATTAGAAGTCCCTGTTTAATAGTCAAATTTGGTCAATGACTTCAACTTCTACATGGCTCTAAGAATCTCTAATAAATGATGCCAACTTTAAAAAAATTGATAAGTACGGATTTTTACAATTTACAATGCTTAATCCAAATTTTACATCTTTTTTCAATCTTTGATCCTTATTTCAAGGTTCCGTATTGATTCTGTAATGAAACATTGAAATAAGGACCAAAATTGATGAGAAACTTTGAAAGAGCGACGAGAAATGAAAAATGTTTCAATTTTCGAGTGAACAGGGTAAAATTTAGAAAGTACATGGACCATTTTTGTATTTTACTCTGTACTTTATGAATTGAGGAATATATGTGCATGAAGAAAACTATAATTTTTGGTTAAATTGCATGGATGAGACCATAAATGTTCATGCCATGACAAATTTCATTGGAAGATACTAGTGTACACATGAATACTTTTCTATTTAATTTTTTCTTCTCTTATACGGATATATGTGCATGGACCACATATGTGATAAGGGCATATTCGTCACATTGAGTAAATAGAATAAAAACAAAACTTTAAGATGTCATTAGGATTCTGGTTGAGAGAGGTATTATTTGTTGAACTCCTACCACTTAATATCGCTTGCATCAGCATGAAGTCATGCACAGTTCATTCTTGAAAGTTAAGCATTAGAATACGATCCAATTGTGATAATGAAGCATATGCAAAAATGATAGAATGTCCTATTCCTAATTCCCTTTTATTATGGGAATTGAAAAAAGGATGCCATGAATATAGATAGTTAGTTTAAACTTTGTAATCATTCCACTCTTTAGTTTTTATTACACGTATTTACGAATAAAATGGATGAAAATGGATTGTAATAAGAAATAAGGCAAGACTGATTACAGAATGGATAGTCATTAGTTTTTAATTATGAGCGTTTCATTAATAAAATTGATGAAGATGGAGATATGAAAAGGATTAAGACAAGACTCGTTGCACAAGGTTACAAACAAGCAGAAAGGATAGTCTATATATGATGATACCTTTGCCCATATATTGCTAGGCTAGAAGCTATATTTTGCATACAGACGTCAGGTGGATGTTAAAATACTTTCGTAATGGAAGAAGTTTATGTCAAACAACCTCCAGGGTTTTTGAAGATCCCAAAACATCCGGATGATTTTTCTTCAAATTTTACTAGATCTAGCTAGTTTAATTATTGATGCAAGTGTCAAGTAAAAATATGACTAAATAATCTTTCTATTTTAAAGTTCTTACCGCGAGTTCAATTATAGCACTTATAAGATAAATGCAATAAGTGGTGAAGAAAGCATCGGCTAAAAATCCACCAAGGAGAGCAAGGAGGAACGCTGTCCCCATGAAATTGCTAACAATGTTTGAAGAACTTGATGGTGTATAATGCATGAATTTTGACAAATATAGTACAAGGTTGCTCGCATTCGCCAGATATGCTAGATTCTCCAATACCTCCACAACTATATATTTTAACAAACACAAAATCAGAACAAATCAATACATACATACATACATACATAAAACAGACTTACCTAAGACAAAAGAAGCTGCAAGTATTCCACCGTGTTTGCCTTCTATAGCTGGTTTGTTTCTCCAATTGACATACATGCTAGATTTGCTGATTTGGCATTCTTGGTCCTTAAAGAGAAGCATAAAACAATAAATGTTAGAAGAAAAAAATGTAGAATGTGGAAGAGGTTTTCTTTTTAAACATAAGTAAAATGGAGATACCATATTGCTATGAAAACTTGAGATGATCTTCCTATCTATAAAGTTATGATTCTTTAATGCAAAGAGGGAATGATGCATGGCATGCTATTTATATGACAATAAAGGGAGTTTAACCCCACCTGGAATGGTCTAGACACCTTGAAAGCGACTTCATCCTCTAATGTTTTAACCTATTGGTATGGAGCATTGAGGTCTACCACTCTTTTATTTATTTATCTTTTTGCGAAAACGAAACCTCGACCCTTCTAAAATTAGAAGAAGTTTCAGCCACTTATGTATTTTTTTTATTATATACTACTCCTAGTGGAACTATGGTGCTATACATAGTATGAGAGTATGAAATTACTCAATTAGTAATCTATAAATTAGTGTGTTCTTTTTCGTTAATTTTCATAGATATTCGGTTTGTCCGATGGAATTGAATAGACAATTACTGAACGAATGTGGTTCTTTTGGTTTTGTTAAATTTATTCCTTAGATGGCATGTTTTTTTTTTTTTTTTTTTTTTTTTTCTCATTCAATCATGGGACGGAATTAAATTTTCAATATAAGCCATTTTTTTTTTGTTTTTGTTTATTTGGTATGCCGTAATTAAAGAGAGAATGTAATTTATTCTATTAGACTGATTTTCATTTTCATTCGATGGATGTAGGCTGTGTTTTTACCATTAATTTCTTTAGGAAATTAATTGATATATTATAATTACAAATTATTTTTATTCATATATTTAACTTTCAATAATACAAATATTAAATTTCTAAAACGCCATTGGGATACCTTACACAGTGACATTCTGGCCTTCGTCAGATACTTTGAAATGCATGGAAATCTTGCACCTGGGTGTAAATTTTCCTTCATAACACTAGTTCCAAAAATTAAAGACCCCCTCCTTCTAAGTGACTTCTGCCAATTAGGAATAAGATGCCTCTACAAGATCTTTGCAAAAACACTTGCCAATCGCCTAAAAGGAGTCATCGGCATCAACATTGACGAGGTTCAAACAACGTTTGTGGAAGGAAGAAACATCTTGGACGGTCCACTCAAGGTCAACGAACTATGCTCTTGGGCTAAGAAGACACGCAGACAAATGCTTCTCTTCAAAGCCGATTTTGAGAAAGCCTTCGATTCAGTCAATTGGGAATATTTTGATTCTATTCTGGAGCAAATGGGGTACGGTACGAAGTGGAGATTATGGATCAAGGGCAGCCTATGCTCCGCTCGTGCCCCTGTTTTAGTTAATGGATCCTCGACTGAAGAATTCCCAATGGAAAAAGGGGTTCGTCAAGGTGACCCAATATCCCCCTTCTTATTCATAGTAGCAATGGAGGGTCTTAACATAGCAATGAAGGCAGCTTGTGAAAAAGCCTCTTCACTGGGATCGAAATCCCAAACTCAGATTTATCTATCTCCCACTAATTCTATACGGACGACGCCTTATTCGTTGGAGAATGGAATAACAAAAATATAAAGAACCTAGCCCGTATCCTTTGCTGCTTTCACGTTGCCTCTGGTCTAACAGTAAACTTCCACAAGTCAAAGGTTTTGGGGATTGGTGTGGATCCGGTTGAAGTTAATCCTTGGGCATCCCTTCTTGGCTGTGAACCGACTTCACTCCCATTCCACTACCTTGGGGTCCCGGTGGGGGCAAATATGAATGTCAAAAAACACTGGAGGCCAATCATTTTGATTTCATTTAAAACTGTCCTCTTGGAAGGCCCAAACTCTTTCATTTGGTGGACGACTAACATTGATTATGGTAGTGTTAGGTAATCTCCCCATATATTTATTTTCACTGTTTGTAGCCCCGATCGGTGTCGTTAACGAGCTTGAGAAAATTCAAAGACGTTTCCTTTGGGGAGGCGACGAGGAAAAATATAGAACAAATTACACGAATGGTCCTTAAGGTTTTGTTTTTTCCCTAAATTAGTCCCTATGAAACTTTTTTCCCTCAGATGGTACCTACGGAGCAAACATTGCACACAAAAGGCCCCCTGTGACTAACTTTGCTAACAAATTCTGTTAAGTTTTTTTAAATGGCAAAAATACCCTTTGTTTTAGGTACACAGATAGTCCTCTCTCTCTCTCTCTCTCTTGAAGAACACATATACAGACATTAAAAACTATACTCCCTACAACCAAAATCATTGTTTGCGATCCACCCCACCCGACCAGTTCCCTTTCTCTTCTCCTTTTCTGAATCCACGAAATCAAGCTACTCTAACCATACCTACAATTGAGAAAAGGAAATCAAAATTGAGCAGATGAAAAGGAAAACCCTCACCCCCACTCTCTTCCATTTACAGAAACGAAATCAGATCAAGCAATCAGAATATCTAGTCTTGAGCAACAAGTAACAAGTAAAAATAGAGAAATTTTCTCTAATCTGATATGATCACGACTAGAAAAAGCTCCAATTAATAAAAAAAATCATGAGATTTTGATCTTTAACCGGTAGAAACCTAACAAAAACAAGAGTTCAAGTACAGAAAATGGAGTTTGAGGAATTACTGAAATGAAAAGAAGATCGAAGAGAAGATGATGAAGATCGAAAGAAGCAGAAGCTGATATGGGAAAAAGACGTCAGGGAAGTTAAACCCTAGCCCTCAAATCACTTTTTCTCTAATGGATGTGCCACCACTATCGATCTCATATGTTCTCTTCAAGCCACCTTCTGCAGCATCGACCATTCAACAATAAAAAATCGACATCAAGCCACATTCAGCGGAGAAAACGATTTTGTGGTTCAGGACCGCCGCCGGAGAAGATGGATCTGTGGTTCAACATTCAGCATCACTATCTTCACCCACGACTTCAAAGATCGCCGGTGGAGTAGGTTCTGCAGTCTAGACTTTGATTTCCACAAAGAAATCAAGAAAGAACAAACCCAAATAAGTTGCTTTTCAATTTTGATTTTCAGGTTTAGATTTTAACAATCAAGTAAGAACAAATATCAATAGGAGACGGGATAAAAGGAGTAAGTGGATGAGATCTATAGGTTAGAGAGAGAGAGAGAGAGAGCCACTTTTTTTAATTTCTAATTAACAAAATATTAAAAATAAATAAATAAATAAAAACAAAGGGCATTTTCGTCTTTTCACACACACTTAACATAATTTGTTAAGAAAGTTAGTCATAAGGATCATTTGTGTGCAACATTTGCTCTGTAGGTACCATCTGAGGGAAAAAAAGATTCGTAAGGACTACTTTAGGGAAAAAAACAAAACATTAAGGACCATTCGTGTAATTTGTTCAAAAATATAAGATCCATTGGGTTGCATGGGAAAAGGTATTGGCTCCTAAAGAATTGGGCGATTTAGGGGTCGGGTCCATGTGAGCTCTAAACCTATCCTTAATTACCAAATGGTGGTGGAGGCTTAGAACGGAACACTCGTCGCTTTGGAGGATCACGATCAAAGGCATCCATAACTTAAAAAACAAGTCGGCTGGTCAAATCTCCAAGGAGTCGATATCGAGGGTTTGGAACAATGTCGCTAAGATTCCAACTGAGCTCCAAAAATGGGTATTGAGTTCAATGATATATTCGTTAAGAAGGTTTGTGCAGGTGATGACACCCTTTTTTGGCAGGATGTATGGAGTGGATCAGAACCGTTGAAATCATCTTTCCCTGGTTTATATGGACTGGAACGAAATAAGAAGTGCAAAGTAGCAGATAGGGTAAATCCTGGCGGTTTCTCGTGGAACTGGTCCACACTCCATCTCAGTGATGATCAGGCTCAGGACTTGCAATCCTTATTGTCTAGGATCGATCTCTTTCAACCTTCTGCTTCAGGTGATCATTGGAAATATAGACTATCCAGGGATGGTGATTATTATGTGAATGTGTTGAGGCATAAGATTGACAGGTCATCTGCACATCTGGGTGTTCATTGCATCGATTGGATTCACGAAGTTCCAATAAAAGTACTATGCTTCGTCTGGCGTGCCTACCTTGGTAGAATTCCATATGCTTGTGCACTACTTTGCAGGGGAATACAACTCAGTTCTCTGGTTTGTAGCTTCTGCTCCTATGTGGCGGAAGATGCAAATCATATATTGGTGACCTACCCGTTTGCGAAAGAGGTGTGGGTTTGGATCCTTCGTTGGTGTAACGCGGACATCCCTCAGGTTAATACCGTGGCAGATGTTATCTCCTCCGTTGGGAGCTAGAAAGGGAGTCCTAAACAGAAGAAGTACTTAATTACGATCTATTATGGAACCATATGGCTGATTTGGAAAGCGCGATGTGATAGGATCTTCAAACATCTACTAGTCTCCCCGACCAAGGTTGCGGATAATGTTAAATCACTACCTTCACCTGGATAAACATAAAAATAGGAGATCTCATTTTCATTATAAGTGGGTCTATTGGTGTCTTAGCCCCTTCATTTGTAATTGATTCTCCTTCTTACACCCTGTAACTTTGTATCTTTGTGCTTTCTGCGCTCCGTCTAGCTTCTTGCTAGTCGTGGGTTGCATTTTAATATATATATATATATATATATATATATATATTATATATATATATATATATATATATATATGTGTGACATCCCCATTTTCACGGCCAGAAAAGACTGATTTGTTTATGCTTTGTTTAAAAATCAGAGTAATAATTTAAATAAAAGAGTTGCGGAATTTGTTCCCAAAACAAAATATGATAAAGATTTATCAAATCATTTCCATAGAAATGTATTTCATTAAAAAGACTCGGGATGTCATGTTCGATACAGATCAAAAGCATAAACAGTACAACATAAGTCTTACTTAATTATTTCGTATTTACAGGCCTAAAACCCCTTATCTCTCATCCAAACATCTATGCTCATGCGCCACTACCTGTAATACAAGAAACTGAGTGGGTCAGGCTTGGGAGCCTGGTGAGCACATAGGGTTTCAACCCACAATAATTAAGTTTATTAACTTTATCAAACCAATCAAAACCGATTACCCCTTCCTGTTATCCTCACTTTACGTCCCTAAAAGATCTAACACAAGGGACCTAGTCTAAGGACTTTCATCGGGGTGACAACACATGCTTCGGGGGTTCCTCAGCAATTCATGTCAAATAAGGAAACCATGTGGGGGATGGAGTACTGCTGGTGAGAACACAATTCAAATAAACACCTACAGGTTGCGAGCCTGCTAGCGTTCCATTGGACTGTCTAGAATAGTCCGTGGTCGCCATCTATACTCCGCTAGATGACTGGATCATCAATAACATCTATAACGAGGCCTCTCATTATTTTATTTTGTCACACAGAAACTATTACATCTACCCATGTTTTACCCAACACATTTTGTAGATATAAAATACATATACAGTTTAAATCATTTAAAACATGTATAAAATCGTTCATCCAGCATAGATATCAAGTATACAGATAATATGCACACGTAGCACGTAATTTATATAAAATACTTCATATCTATGTGTAAGATGAAAGTAACTATGCACTCACTTGAAAACGTGGTGATTCCGAACTCAGACAGCGCTTCGTTACTCTTAAAACAATTTCATTTGACAGAACCTAGTATCATTACCACTAGGGTTAAGTCTAACATTCACCGAGACTAATTAATAGTATAGCTCTTATTACTATTATATAAGCGTTAAACAATACTCTTCACCCACTATATACAGACAGGGGCCAGACATAAAACACCGGATGGCAGGACCATTTTGGCATATAGCACTTCTGAAATCCAACAACCCTATGTGACCCTTTAAACCAGATTCCCCGTACCGCGAGTGGTTAAAAAGATATTATAGCGACACTTATATAACCCATAATAATAGCCTAAATAATTATTATAAAGTCCTAATAACGTTACTATAATTAAATAAAACCTATATTAAAAATAGCGTAGGCGTAGCTCACTTACAGCGGGTTTTCTTGAAAACCGGGCTCCGCTTGGAGCAGCGTTTCCGAGCCGAAAGACCCTTTTTCTCGGGACTCCGGGAGCCTCGGGGCTTCTTTCGGGTGCTAGGGGGTTTACCTAGACTTTAGGGGGCTTCTAGGGCTAGAGAGAGAACTTAGAGAGAGAGAGAAGGCTTTGAAAGGTGTGAAGAAAGTGGCTGCCCTCGCAACCTTTTTATAGTGCGAACCTCGGACGTATGTTGGGCATACCGAGGCCCTACGCTGGGTGTAGTCTTCGCTCCGTACAACATGCGTCGGATACAAGGTGGGGCGACGTGGCTCGTTTTGGTTCGCAGAAGACAGCAGTACGCGAGGCGTTATAAACCTCGTACACAGGGCGTAAGGAGAACGCTGGGCGTCCGAAGACCTACGCTGGGCGTACCCCTCGCACAACCTTCGTGATTTGCACTTCCGACTTCAAAAATTTGTATCTTTCGCATACAAGCTCTGTTTTCGACGTTCTTTATATCCACGCGTAGGCGGGACCGTACTCTACAACTTTCCTTTAGACTCCGTCGGCTAATTTTGGATTTATTTTAAAAGTTGTATTTTTAACAGGCCGGGACAGGGTTGGTCTGTTAAAAATTCATAACTCCTTCATCCGACGTCCGTTTTCGTCTGTCTTTTTATCGTTACGCTAATATTAATGAGGTCTTCGATTCTCGTTTAGGTTGTGTCGGCTAAAAACCGCTCGATCTAATATTCGAACTTTGGGCTGTACACTACTAAGTCGAAACTTCGAAAAATCATAACTTCCTCATACGAAGTCAGATTTGAGCGTTCTTTTTATGCACACTCTCGGTTTAACGTATTCTACGACTTTCGTTTAACTCGCTAAGGCCAAATATCGCTCTATCGTAAATTTACTATTTACGCTTCCCGGTGCCGTGCCGGTTTCGTCGCGAAACTTCGACGGGTCATAACTTCTTCGTTATAACTCGGATTTCGGCGTTCTTTATATGTACGGAATCCTTGTAACATATGCTACAACGTTTATTAAGACTATTCATTCTAAATAGTCTTTTATCAAAAAGTCGTTTTCGACACTTATTGTCTCTAAATTGACTAGCCCGGATCTACGGGCGTTACAATTATCTCCCCCTTATGATGATTACGTCCCGAAATCATCAACGAAATAGGGCTTGTATAATGACTCCATACGTTATCTCTTCATCCTAGGAAGTAATCGTAACTTCCATGTTGCTTCGAACGAGTATCTAACTCATAGACTCCTTGACTACAGGCGGTGCTCGATCTTACACCTGCTCCCTATCTCGCATTAGACTCCAAATTATGACCTTCAAGTCACAATCTCGATCCTTACTAGAGACTCCTTCTTCTTCTTAACAAACTTAAGAATAAATTTTTTGATTTCTATAATAGATTGATGTGCCTCGTTCTAATGACCTCTCGTCGTATGTTGCAACACTTAGACTCAGGTCTCTTAGAGTCAAATTCCAGAACAGACTATACCTTCCTTCATGTTCTAATGTGATATAATCACATTCTAGTACGTAGCACTTCTAACTACAAGTTTCTTACTTTAACAACGATCACAATCGCTTTGACTATCTTTTACTTCAATCTTCTGGCTTAAGTCAGATGTTACATCAAACTTGGTTCTCCGAACCACGTAACATGCTCCTCGTAGTCGGACTGAATTTGATATGACCACTGGGGTCGGAATAACAACAATTTTCTTAGTTATTACCGAAACAATGGTAACAACATACTTGAATAAAATGGTATCAATTACTAGCTTCTTGGTAACCTTGTGACTTTCCATGATCCAAGTGTGAGTCCTGTGCTTCCGGTAGTATAGGCCTCTACTACCTTTCACCCTACTCATACTCGTCCCAAGTATTGTGTCGCAGTTCACCCAAGTCACCATACAAGAAAATCACACAACAACTTGACACATCAGATAACAAAACGAGGGTTTTATATTATTCCTTGAAACGATTACATAGGTGTTCAAGTTCAACCTATACTATGCCTCTAATAGGCTACACCACGTGGTACTATCTACACGACTGCTTCATAGATCCTCATTCCTGATCCCTTTCATTGCCATCTACTTCGTCAAGGATCATATGGAACGCTCTTGCCTTCGGTTTCGGTGGAATGTTTGGTCTTGACGCCTCTTTCTTCTTCGGACAATCCTTAGCAATGTTCCCTTCTTCACGACATTCATAACACATCCTTTTGTTGGCGGTGCACTCGTTGGCGTAATGCCCGGTCTTCCCACACTTGTAGCAGGTCACTTCCTCGCTACATTTCCCGAAGTGCTTCTTCTTGCACTTCTCGCACCATTTCGCCTCGTTTCCTCCTCCACTAAACTCTTTTGAACCAGACTTGATCTTCTTATTGTTGGTCTTTGCAGACCCCTCGAACTTCCTCCTCTCGCCAACCTCAACCTTGCTGGCAGCTCTTCCCTTAATCATATCCTCCACAGACTTTGCAGCCCAGATAGCTGCCTACAGAGTAGGTGCCTGACGCACTGGCAGCGCGTGCTCCCATGGAAGTCCCTTTTCGTACTTGTCGATTTTCTTCAGCTCATCCGGAACAAGACGCAAGGCGAACTCCATCTTCTCTGTGAAGTTGTTGGTGTATTCATCAATTGACATCCTTCCTTTCTTCAAGGTCAGGAATTTGTTCTCTAGCTCGAGCAGGTTTTGGGATGAGCAGTACTTGTGTTTGAACTGCACTAAAAACTCTGCCCACGTCAGTTGTAGGGGCTCATTGGGGCTTAGAGTCTTCCCCAGGGTATTCCACCAGCGCACAGCGCTTCCTCGGAACTGACGTACTGCAAAGGTGTTCTGTAACTTGCCTCTGCAACCACACGTCATGAAAGCTAACTCTATCTCCGAGATCCAATCCATGACTCCGATCAGATCTTCCTTTCGAGTAAAAGTCGATGGCTTGCAAGTCAGAAAATCCTTGTACTTGGATCCATTCCTCTCGATTCCGTCATCCTGGTTGTTTTTTTGAACTATTGGTGGGTTGGCTTGACCAACGGTCCCACTGTAGTTCCCTCCTTCTGACTGACCATCGTTCAATTCAGGCTGTTCCACTGGCATTGTAGGTTCGTCCCTATTTTCATGCAACATCTGCCTCATCTCTTCTCGTTGTTCAGCCAACATAGCCCGTATCATGGCTTGTACTTCGGCCATTGTAATTGGCTCAGGAGCATATGCTACAACAGATATTTGTTCAATCGCTGGTGGTTGATTCCTGTTCCCATTTGCA